TCAAACAAGCTGGGATATCAAAAACTCAGACAGGAAACATGCTCCGTGATATTTACTATTCGAAATGTAGCCAAAGAACATGAAGCAATCATTTTAGTTCCTGCTTTCTTATGATCCGGCTAAAAAAGCCGCCTAATCCTAAAATCAATGGATTAATCAAGCAAATTATCACTCGAGATCGGAATATTTCAACCTCCAAAATCATGTTGAATTTGAGTACGAGCTGTGGGGTCAACAGATCATGCAATATGGTGATCAATAAAAAATCATGCCATGGGGTTTCAGGGTCCAGTTGCCCGACAAACGCGAGGGTCCTCAAAGCGAAGAAGCTCAATAAATTTTAATGGGGTAAATATCACCCTAAATAGACTTTCATTGAGTAAAGAACGGTCTGCTGCTTCGACATAAGCCAGCATTAGTTATTCGGAGCCAATTGAATGGTCTAAGTCTGGCGGATGCCATAAAAGGCTCACAAAAACGAATATGTGCATATGGCAGTTAAACACAGCGTAGGATCGATTGTGGTTTGGGGTTAAATGACTAGGTCGCGGCGTAGTTACCTGGTAAGTATCGACAAAATCATGACCAGGGAGGTCTTATTAACCATTACAAACCATAATTTGAAATCATTTGACAAAAACCTGACCTAGGAAGGAATTACATATTCCAAAAATGCAGTGACCCCAAACATTTGGCCAATTTAACGGTGTAAGTTTTTGGAGACTGAAAAGATTAAGCTTCTTTCGTTGCCCGCACAGTCTCCCGATGTGATTCTGATTGTCCGGGTTGAGAAAAGAGGGACTGATGGGAAACCACTCGTCGAAAAACGAGCTTGTCAAAAGTTCGGAAGAAGTTTTGGCAGCCATATAGAAAAGCGTTATAAAGAAACTTGTGGAATCCATTCCACTGCCTATTTATGCTCTTATTGCGTCGAGGGTAGGTGCCACGTAACATTAGAAGCAGTGTGACGTAATAAAATTAGCCATTCTTTGATTTATGATTTTATAAGTTATAGGGTGCCAATACTTTTTGCGGGTTAATTTTACATATTTTCCAACAAATTATTTAAAAACTGTGTTTATCCAATTTTAATCAATAAAACATGATTATAATCGAACACTACATTAGATTTGCTAAATGTGTACAAAGTTTCATGCTAATTTGATAATGCATTCCAAAGTTATAGGCAATTTTATGTAGCTTGCGTGGGTGGTGCCTATACTTGTTCCATTGACTGTAAGTATGCATGTATGTACAATTGTACATACACGTGTAACTCCATAAATATGCAAATGTATTTATTTCACATGCTTCAATGTTTACATATATGATTTTTTATATGATGCTTATTATGATGAAAATGAAAATTTACAAAAAAAGTCTGTAAAAACTTATTATATGAAAATGAAGACTTAAAACTGCTTATGTTTTGACAATATTTATCATTTCAATAATTGCAGATGTGCATTGATTTTGCCAATTTATGTGTCAAATTTCATCTCATTTTTTAAAAATTTGATTCGTTTATAATATAAATTAATCTATAATGTCGTGAGGAAAACTTGAAACACGAAACGTTATGATGAAACTTGTCAACGTTGTTGTTCTAACTTGTACATATATGTATTTCCTTATATATGGCCAAATAAAGTAGTCGACGACGACGGCGGATTATGCAAATCTGCTGCTGGTGCTTCTCTCCTCAAGTCGTGTACTCGTTCACACTTGAGCTCCTCATTTGCATATCGTCAGCACGCTGCAACAATACATACATACACGGGTGATGTCGGTATTCTCCTCTTTTGAGTTGTTGGGCTGACGAAATTTCCAAAAGTCCATTAAAAATTAGTTAATATTTTCAAGTTTTTAAAATAAAAAAAATATGGTAAAATTTACAATTTTTTGGGTTTTTTGTGATTGATGATGAATGACGTTTTTTTTTCAGCGAGGTGGTTAGGCTGCGTTGTGGAGGTTGCTATGGCAACCAACCTAACCTAACCTAACCACGTGTTAATGTAATACCGGTGCTACAAATTTCTAACTATTTTTATACTGTTTTGCTAGATAATACCTTGATTTTGGGCATATATTTCATATTTTAATACGCAAACAAGTATAAAAATATAAAAATTGACCATTTTTGTCGTTTTTACAATTAAAACGTAAATGTGTTGTTTATGTGTTGATTTTATGCATCAAACTGCATCTTTTTTCCTGAATTTTATTCAATTATTGCTTCTACGATGTAAACTAGTCTAAATCATCCAGAAACCCCGAAAGAAAAAAGTTTAGTAACAAAATTATACTAATTTTTCATTGATGATGACTATACTTTCATGCTGATACACATGTTGAAATGGGAGAATAATTTGACTTTTTTTCAGAATTTTGATAATTTTGACATTTTCTTGTATTATGTTGTAGCTTAGCAGGTAAATATACTGTATTAACTCGAAAAAGTCAAAAAAATTATTTCGAAAGTATGGTTTTTCTTCAATTTATAAAATGCGTCCAAATTTCCGCTCGACTAAATTATCATCACTTTAGACCCTACCCGAGTACCAAAACGTGTCCTACTCCCACGCTGTGTACACAAAGTTGCGGTATCAACTCCACTAGGGAGCAACTCCCGGATAGGAAATGTAGTTGTATGCTCAAGCTTAGTGGATAAGTAGTTACGGTATGAACTCGGCTTGGCTGCTACTCCGCGGTTGCAAAGCTCAAGCTTCATAATCATATACATGGCACACCATATATATTCCGCCTGGTGAATTTGTCAAAATTTTGTTAAAAACCGGTAATATTTTTCGGGTTTTTGAAATTAGAAAACCAAAAAATAAATTTAGAATCACACTAATTTATTTGAATTTCTTGTCATTCAAGTACACTGGCATGAGCAGAAGCAGCAGCAGCATGGTTGGGCTGGTTGCTATGGCAACCAACCTAACCTAACCACGTGGTAAGGTAATACCTCTGCTACAATTTTTTTACTGTTTCTACTGTTTTACTTGATAATTCCTTGATTTTGGGCATGAATATCATATTTTAATATGCAAATAAATCAAAATAGTACAAAAGAAGGATCATTTTTGTAGTGCATATACAGGATGTTTACAGATTTTGTGGAAAGACAATTACATGTATTACTTTTGAACGCGTAATTCAATTTGCACCAAATTTGGCACACACAATCTCGAAGGTCACGACCACACCTGCGCAAAGTTTCAAATTTCTATCTTCAAAGATGGCCCCCAAAAGTTACCCCAAAGTGGACGAACCGTAAAAACGGTTTCCGAAGCTATTTTGGCCGCGAAAAGTGCCCAAAGGATAATCCAAAAATTTGGAACCCATCTTATCGTGTCCCCCACATATAATTGTATCAATTTTGTAAGAAAACGCCAGTAACTAGTTTCATCCGACCAACGTATGCGACGAAATGCATACCCCTCAAAACGATGAATTCTGCCACCCTGAAGAACATTGATCGCCACGATGGCAATCAGAATCCTGCAACCAAAAGACAGGTCACAATGCAATCCCAGGTGTCTCCTGGACACGTTAATCGTATTGTATAACACAATTTTAAAAAAGCCTTGCAGAGGAAGGCGAAAGTCCGCGCACTTAAATTTACCCATCTGGGAAACAAAAAAACTAACAGTCGGAGGCTGTTTGAAGGTCATGTTGGGAATAAAAATTCCGAATTCGTCGTCGCATTGGACGAGACACTCTGCTGCCTTCAAAACTTCAACAGCACAAAAATAATTTGCTGCAAAACCGACCGAAAGCAGATTTCAAAGCATGGGTCTGAAAAGAAGGAAAAGTTGTCTGACTGATTCCTGGTGGCAGGTGCAATGACGGACCGTGGAGTGCGAACACACTTTGAGGTTACTTTTTGCGCTCATTTTTGAAGATAGAAATTTGAAACTTGGTACATGTGTGACCGTGATCTTGGGGATTGTGTATTCGAAATTTGGCGCCAAAACGGATAAAGGGTTCGCAGTTTACCCATAAAATGGTCTTTCCACAAAATCTGTAAACACCCTCTGTATTTAACATGTTTGCATTTATTTTGTCAACTTATGCGTCAAAGTTCATCTTTTTTTCTGAATTTCATTCAATTATTGCTTCCATATACAATGTAAGTGAGTCTAAATGATTCAAAAAATTCAAAAGACAAAAGTTTATTAGGAAAATTTTACCAATTTGTCAGTGTTGATGACTGCACTTTCATGCAGATACACATGTTCAAATGGGATAATAAGTTTTACTTTTTCGAGAATTTTTATAATTTGGACATGTTCTAGCAAAATATGCTAGCTTAGCACGTAAGTACACCGTACAGAGTGGAGAAAGTGAGAAAATTTATTTTGAAAGTATGATTTTTGCTCAACTTATAAAATGCGACCAAATTTCCGCTCGGCTCAAATTATCATCATGGGTTTATCCGACCTGAGTACCAAAACGTGTCCTACTCCCACGCTGTATGCAGAAGCTGCGGTATCAATTCCGCTCGGCTGCTACTCCGGGGAGAGTGTGGTTGCATGCTCAGGTTTAACATGTATACATGCATAATAATAATGGTGAAATGCCTCCTAAATAATATATAAGTCGCCTACATGGAAAACGTCCCCTAATATTATTTTTGAGACCTCATATAAATCCATAAGTAACTCCTAAATTGTTTCATAAAACAGGGTCTTTATTTCATATAATTATCAGATTTAGGGCTTTAACAAAGCCCTGCTTGATTTGAATTTTAAAATTATTTTGATTCGTGCCTTTATGATATCAGTATGATGTCCCCGTTTTTGATTGTATCTATAGACTTGACACTTTGTTACGCAATATGAGTCATATTATATGACTTAAGATGGGTCATGATTTGGTAATAACTTCGTGCGCCGTATCTCACGAGTCACGTGTTCCTCGTATTTATTAAGTTTACAATTTTCTTACAACTGCGTCCCGATGCGACAACTAATATTTGTACGAAGTTTGAATTTTTGTTATCATAATTTATTTATTTTTCATACAAAGAAACATTTACATAAATTAACGAATTTATATCAATGTTTATTTATCACAGCTTGTTAACCCCAACTTGACAAAGATGAGATCATATGAGGCGTCAATTTACGTATAAAAAACTAATTTCTACATTAACACTTATGTATCCTTCCACTATTTGCTACTCCCACAGCTGTCCGGTTGCCATGGAATAACGGGCAAATCATCTAATTTTAACCCCCTCTTAAAATTAGTGGAAAGAACGAGGCCAAGTTCGGAATATTGGAGGGTGTCAATGTCCAAGAAATTGATTTCCACCGCGCCAAAACCGATCCCCGTGGCCCAATAAATCATCCAAAAGTCGGACGCCCACTTGGTGAGGACGAACCTGTTGGGGGCGATTTGGACCAGCCAACCCTCCGCCATTCGCCCATAGCTCCAGTAAAGTTGCGGAATCCCGACGGAATTCGTGCGAAGCGTAATGGTCATCTCACCTGGAATTTTGTAATATGTAATTTTCGTAATTTTTAAAAGGAGATTCATATTCTTTATGAAATGTACCGTTGAAGCCACTCCCGTACGAACCGACGGCTTGATCAAGTGTGATCTTAACTTGTGATTTTGCGACGCTGTTCTTTGTAGGTTTCGGATTGGTGAATTTGTTCCCGGTGTAAAAGGAGAGTTCGTGCTGCATTGTGTGGTCGGGTTGGTTTTTGGGGGCTTCTTGTGGCCTTGGTAATCCTATAAAATTTTGACATATTAAAATACATGCTATCAAAAATGGGGACGATTTTTGTCAAATTTTTAAAAAATCGTGGAAAGTTGTGGAAAATATAATTCTTACCGGACAATAAGTAAAAAATTTGAGTTTTGACTTCCTCCGATTCGAGCAACATTCCTGGACCGTTGGAAGTTATGAAGATGCTAATTCCGAGATCTGGATAGGAATAGAAGGATGACTGGAATGGCGGCAGATAACCCCCGTGGCCGATTCTGCGCCAACCTGTGAACCAAATTTAAAATACAATTGCTTAATTTAAACAATTCAAGGGGGAATCCAATTTTAAAATTTGGATAACATGTCTTTAACTAACCATCAAAAATTCCCGAGTATAAAGCGAGCCCATATCCGACACTGATGTCCAGCGTGGTATCGGGATTGTCCATCGTTTTTGTGGACCCACTGTAACCATTGTTTGAAATTGTGGTCATCCATTTCATCACCTCCTAAAAATTGAATTTTACTTTCAGTCAGTTAAAATTTTAGGAAATATTCGAAATTTAAAAATTTTTGAAAACCAACCTCCGGTATGACTTGATTATCTCCAATTTTTCCATTGCGTGCATACAACTGGATGTATTTGACCATGTCGTTGACACAAGAAAGCATCCCGCCGCCCCCAAAAATTGGTGCGATAAGCCTGAATTTCAGAGAAATTTTGAGTTAGTAAAATTAAAAAAGAAAATTGAGTTATTCAAAAAAAGCAGAAACTTTGGGGAACTTACTTCATTAGTTCTGTATTGTATCGCTGTAACCTCCCCTCCTTCCAGATGTAGGGGACGGCACGATGCATCATATTGTTATGGTCGTCACTCGCCCTTATCCAGGTCGTCCCGGTCATCCCGAGGTCAACGAGAAGTTGGGTCAACTGGAATATGCAAATCCATATTTAAATCCGGATAAAAAATTATTCGCCATTATTATTTTCTATATTAACCTTACCAACTCTTCATATGTGGTATTGACCATGTGCGCCACGATTTCACCAGACAGCGCGATCAACGCGTTGCTGTACGCCATCCCATTTCGGAATGTGCATTCTTCCGGGGCGTAGCGGTAGCGACTGTGAAATTCAAAAAATTTAAATATTAAATTTAATTGATGAATTAAATTTAGTTAATTATTAAAATTAACCACTCACTAATAAAAGTCGTCCTTCCCTTCATACGCTTGCGCCAAGAGGCCGGAAAGTTCCTGGAGGGCGCACACCCTGTGGGCGAGGAGGTCTCTGAAGGTCACCTGTTCTGACCGGTATCGGTCCCCCAGGGTCAAGTTGAACGAGGGCGCTAAGGTCGCGATGGGCGTGTCCAGCACGGCCTCGCCCATTTCGGGGTGCAAGTCGCGCAACGTTCGCGTCACGACGAGCGCGGCGAAGGCCTTGGAGAGCGATCCGATGGCAAAAAGGGTGTTCCCATCAGCGGGAATGTTGCTCTCAACGTCCCGCAAACCGTACGTCTTGGCGTAGGTGGCGTCTCCTTTGACGAGTGAGATTCCAAAAGCGGGAACGTGTTGGCGTTCCATCGAGGCGCGGATAATGGTTTCGATTTCGAGCAGGATTTCGGGTGGGATGACGGCATTGTTGGGATGTGCCGATGGTGCGGCGGAGATTAATGCGATTAAGGTGGAGAAAAGGAGCAGGGAAAGTGTGTAAAAATTTGAAGAAGATTTAGAAATCATTTTGAGAAAATGTATGATTTTTTAGCGTTTTAAAAAGTAAGAAAAGTTTGCCTTAATTTGTGTATTATATTTAAAAGGTTAAATTGAAATGTATACAATATTTTGAGGTAAAGTTTTCGCAATTTATGCAAAACTAGTCGTCTGTTTTCGTCTTTATGAACAAGCTGTTGTTCGTTGAATGAATATTGCATGCAAATTTCGCATCTTTATATATCAACCAGATTGACACAGTAAAAGGTACACGCGGGATTGATGATAAGCCAAGATAAGCCTGGCACGGGATGTGACGCTCTTATTATGCGTACGTATTTATTGTTCTGCTCGTCTACCTGTTTACCAATTTGAGTACAGACACAGATATTGTGCATGCTTTTATGTAGATATGTATGAATTTAGCTGCGTGCTGGACTCGGCGTGGAGTGTCCGCGGATGAGTAAACTTGACTCTTTCGTCAACACTTAATCTCGTGACGTGACGTGTTGATATTGAACCTGTAAATTTAGGTACATATGTACATTTGTTATTTAACGGAATTAACAATTGTATCCCGACTACCTTAACGAATACGGGGTATTAGTTGTTGCGTAGAAAGAGGTGATTACTGACTGACTCATGTTTCGGCTTATTTTGTCCGAGTTGAGAAAACAGGTACGTAATTAATTGCTTGACACGTGCTTGTTTTTTGTAGCATAAAAGTAAATACATACATATGCACATAAAGGATGTGAATGTATGTATGTATGTATGCATGGGTCAGGTGAGTCGTGATTAATTCAGGTGAGATTCTATGAATCAGTCCGTCATAAAGACTTCAAGTTTCGACCCGTAGATAATTAAGCTCTTGTCCTTGTGTATTTAAACAAATTTAAAAAAATCTCAATTTGCCTCTTTCATGTTCCAGCAAGGGAACCACGAGGTTTTACCATGCAAAATAACGGGTCACGTTGAATGAGAAATACTTATATAAGTTTTGTAAAGGCAAAATAGAAAATTATATAAGGAGATATTTAAATAATGATGAGTTCTGCTTCCTGTATGAAAATCTAATTAATTGCAAAATAAGTTAGTACATATATGTACACGTGTTCCAGCCGGGTGACATTGTGTGTTATTTAGATAAGTTGAAAATTTTGGATTTTCCAACTCCCTAATCACAACATAGTTTTTTGCATTGCGTGCATTATCTATACAAGGGGTGGAGTATTTAATTTTAAAGTAGGGAGTTAGAAAGTCGGAAATTTTCGGCTTACAAATCAAAAATACAAATTTTTATCGGCTGTAAATAAATAACTCGTCATGGGTAAATACATATTTACTTGTTTTATCCGGTTGTGTATCTAAAACACGTGTGTATTAATGTGTTTTAATGTTAATTTTTGTAAATACAGGAAACACAACTTGTCATTAAGTACACATGGAAACCGATTTAATTACATACATAAATTAAGTTTATACCGTGTATACTTTCATCTGTATTATTAAACCTGTTTATGTACATAATAAACAGGTTACACATGTACAAATATGATATTCTAGAACACAATAAATAAACAACCTACACGTGCAACATATTTATCCAGTCATTTAGCTAGTTTGTCTTCGTCCTCTCCGAAACTTGTGGTCACCCCTGTAATTATCCTCGTATTTAGGTACATATGTAAATATTTATATATTTATGTACACACTGTTAGAAATCTGCCGTAGTCTCCAAGGTATTGAAGTTGATACGGGTTAGTATTAAAATTTCACGGTCCGTAAAAATTTACAACCAAGTACCCTTGATACCGAGCTGTTACAGGGTATTGCTTAAAAAAACCTGTTCACTTTCATTCATTTTACTAATTTTGATTGTGCGTGATAGTGAATAATGAAAATGAATATCTTGTGATTTAAATGAAAATGACTGAAGGATTCTGTCATTTCAGATGAATGACAATGAATGAAAGGATCCTTCACTCATTTCTTTTTCACCCTATTCTTAACGCATGGAGCGAAGCAAGAAATGGAGTCCGATGCAGTGAAATGAATTGGATTTGAGAGCAAATGACTGAATATAAATGAAAATGTTTAGCCGGAAATCGAGATTATTGAATTTTGAATGAAAACTAAATTTTTGAACAGGTACATATGCTTACTAATACTACTGTTTTTTAGAGTCATGTACATATGTATGACAACCGCTTGGTATTATTTTAATACTGGATTTCTAAGAGTGTATCGTCATTACAAAAATAATTGTGTATGTACATAATACCCGAATTATGATTTAGGATATGATTTTGAATATGATTATGAATATGATTATGAAAAATTTCCTTAGCAACATTAACAAATTCCCCTAGCAACGTCGAAAAAATTGCTTAGCAACATAAACGAATTTCCTTAGCAACATCAAAAAAATTGCTTAGCAACATAATTAGCAACATAAAAAAGTTTCCTTAGCAACGTCAAAAAATTTTCCTAGCAGCGTCAAAAAAATTGCTTAGCAGCATAAGAAAATCCCTTAGCAACGTCAAAAAATTGCTTAGCAACATAAAAAATTTTCCTTAACAAGGTCAAAAAAAAATGCTTAGCAACATAAAAAAATTTCCTTAACAACGTAAGAAAAAATCCGTGGCAAAATAAAAAAAATCCTTAGCAACGTTCAAAAATTTAATGTGGCCCGTCTATAGGACGGGCTTATAGGCTAGTTAGTTAATAATTCCAATAATAACATACAGAAAACAATGAAATATTTTCTCACAATTTCTCACATTATTTTTGTGTCCTCAGTATTTTCTACTTCAAATTTCCTCACAAAATTCGCCCAAATCATGCAAGAAGTTGACGGTGACTTGACCTGCCTGTATACTCGTTGGGGTCGTGATTTCAAAAAATTTGATACCACGTCCACTAAAAAATATCAGGCCCAAATCATCATATCTGCTGAATCACGGCCGATATTCCTAGTGACAAAATTTCTTCAAAAATATGGCAAAATTTGCAATTTTATCCACTACAAAGGAGTAACGGCTTCCCTATCGAGGAGAAATATGCCCGTGAATTTTGTCCAATTTGGCAGTAGGAGTACCAATTTTCATCTCGTTGCTTGTAAAAATTTGCGAGAAGCGGATTCATATCCGTTCTCTGGTTATGCAAATGTTATATTTGTGGTTGGCGAGAAATTCAAAATTTACGGGTTTGACGTGTACGGGGAGCATCTTATGCAACGTGGAGAAAGCGAAGGTAGATTTTACCGGGACAGGTCAAACTTTCAAGGTCGTCAGGTCAAGTGGGGCTATCCGCCCGTGGGAAGGCTTATTCTTACCAAGGACGCCCTTCAATCTTTCAGGTAAGTATCTATGTAAGGACCGGGCTGTATGTAAAATACTAATAAGCTTTACATGTTGAATAAATCCGAGTGCGTCAAAATATGCAAATGAGGTAACAAAAATTCGACCAGATTTTGAACATGGTGAAATGCACAAATATTTGAAAATGCCAATAAATATGATACCAACACCAATTAATCGATACAAATTAACTTATGTATTCTTCCTTCACAGGGAAGGACCATCCACCTCCGACAGCAGTTACATCTCTTCCCTCATGGTGTTCACCCAATATTTGAACGCTACTTTGGCCCCATCTCATTTCTACGATGGTTACGGCTTTCTAAATTCCACCACCAAAACGTTCACCGGATTGTACGGGGGTCTGGAATCTGGCCAGGTTCACATCGCTCTATGGATGGTTACAAAAAACGAACTTGAAGAAATCATATCAACCACGTCGGACGGAATTATGGATGGTTTCACGTTTTTTACCAGACTCCCAAAAAATCTAGGCAACGCCGACCCGCTCGTCGCCTTGTTTCAACAACTTGACGTCATCGTATTAGCGTACCACGTGGCCTGCATTGTGCTAATCGTCGTCACGGTTGTGATGGCCAATCCGCGGGAGAAGTGGACCCAAAGAAAGCTATGGTTCTCCACGTTGGCGGGAGTTTGCAGGCTAATTCCACAACAGGATATTAATGCGGAACTTGAAAAGTATTCTTTTTTCAGATATTTATTATAACGGGTTTTAAAGTATGCGCTGCAAAAAATTTGGAAACCTATGTATCTTTGGTAAAATAGGGCTAGATTTTCCGGTAATGATTAGAGGTCGTCCATAAATTACATACTTAACGCGAGGGGGGGGGGGAGCGTGGGCATAAGGGTCCATGATATCATGCCTCTGAAAATCGCGATTTTTACATTGCTTAATTTATGCACGGCCCCTGAAGCAGGCTTTTTGTCATTAAACATAGGTCAAAAACTCATCTATCAGACATAGTCATTTTAAAAATTCAACATTTTTACTATCTATTCATTGTCTGGTACATAGTAAAATGTTTAATTTTTATATGTTGTATAAAATTTTAAAAAATCAATGTCTAAAACTTTGAACGTGTGTTTGGTACACGTGCTTTTTACTTATTTTCTGTTTGTGATAATACGTCTGCTTAATCACTACACTCTAAGAAACCCGGTGTGACTAACAAGGAAACATACCGAGGTGTCCAACGAGTTAAGGGTCGACACCTATACCAAAATGACCACAATACATGACTTATTAAACAAACTGAAGGAATTTCCGTGTAAAATTCACTTTTCGTCAAGTTGTGACGATATTTGTGACGAGCGCATGACCATCGGAGAGGTCGGCCGCTGAACGATCAGGTCGAACACAAAGAAGCGTCGTCGTCTTCACGTCATCTTCAGAGATTTCAAATTCTATCAAATTTTGAAAACCACTTGAAATTTTGAAAAAAAATTGAAATTTCTTCAAAATTTCAAAAATTTCTTCAAAATTTTAAAAATTTCTTCAAGATTACAGAAATTTCTTCAAAATTACAAAAATTTCTTCAAAATTTCAAAATTTTCTCAAAATTTCAAAATTTTTCAAAATTTTTACAAAATTTTTCAAAATTTTTTCAAAATTTCAAGATGTTTTCAAAATTTGATAGAATTGGTAATCTCTGAAGATGACGTGAAGACGACGACGCTTCTTCGTGTTCGACCTGATCGTTCAGCGGCCGACCTCTCCGATGGTCATGCGCTCGTCACAAATATCGTCACAACTTGACGAAAAGTGAATTTTACACGGAAATTCCTTCAGTTTGTTTAATAAGTCATGTATTGTGGTCATTTTGGTATAGGTGTCG